CCACATTTCTAATTTTCTGGCTTGGTTAATTTCCTATCACATTCTCCAAGTGGCTTATTCTAATTATTTATAGCCTCTACAAGGCCTTAACTCCATGCCTTCCTCCCTTCTCTTTAGCATACATGTTGTCTCCTATACAGGAAGATAATAAGACTTCCTGGACCCACCTACTGCACCCCCTTTTCATCTTCACCTGTCATTTTGCATCTACTTCTTGCCCAGTGAAAAACTGTTTCTCTCCTGTATATTCTTCCACTTGTGCAAAAATAGACTCCTCTTCCATACTATCTTACCTTCTCAAGAAACTTCCTTTAACAATAGGGCATTTGCTTGCCTGACTATTGTTTTTTAATATCTGCCATTTTGGTGGCATCTTTGTTTTGCTTCTGAACAAGCTGTTTTTCCCTGTTAAAAAATAAAATGGAACAAAAATGAAAATTAAACTTTCATCTGCTATCCTCTCATGGCTGTGCTAGAGTTCTCAAAAAGAGAGACCTTATCTCTTCACTCATTTGCATGAGCACCGAGTTCTCACCCTCAGTCAATACCTTTCAATATGGCTTCCCAAGACGTATTCTAATCATTTTAGTGTACTAAAGTGAATCTAACAATGAGTGCCAAACTCTGAAACATGATAATTACTTTTGAGTAAAGATTAACATCCAAATGAAACCATTACAAACATAGCAATGTCTATAATTACTGTGCTTAATGATGATTTAGTTGGCGAGTGGCTAAAAAAAAATGTAGGTGGGAAAGAGAGGGGATAGATCAGAAAGATTTGCCAAAAGAAAAGGGGGGAAATGTCATAGAATCTGGGAGAAGAGTTGACAGGCCTGAATTTGAAATGCTGTTAAAGGTTACAGAGCTTACTGTCTTTAGCAGTCACGTAGACACATGCCTTGCTGTCACAGCTACTATGGAAACAAAGAAAGTCGTCCTCAGAGCTCTCTGCAGACTGAGAGAGTCTCCCATCCACCCTGAGTCAACACAGTGGTCCAGATACTTAATATCTAACTCCAGTACCTAACTCCAGTTTCTTTTCTCGCCCTCTTAAGTCACTATCTACTGCTATCTAATTTTATTTGCATGCCCAAGAACTAAGAAAATGTGAATGAAAAAAATGATGAATGAGTAAATGGAAAAAAAAAAAAAAACACTCATATGTACAAATAGCCACTATGGCTATCAAAGCGTTGGAGGGAAGAAGGGTCTAGTTATCAATAATTCTAAAGAAAAAAAAAAAAGCTCATGCAAGAAACAATATGTTAGTTAACCAGAACCAAGGAGCCTTGTTAAAGGAGGGGTGAGGAGCAGTGGAGGTCATTTTAAGGTATATAATACCAAAACTAACCTATTTTATCAAAATTCAAACTTTATGGGATTTCAGCATATGCATGTGTGCACATACACACACAAACATGCAAAATTTTCAGAATTTTATTTTCTAAAAGGTGTTTTGTGGTCTGAGCATCACAGAGAGTTAGAAATTATATGGAAGTACGAGTTCATTCAAGTTTTAAATGGTGAAGATCTCAACATATGCTGATTAAATTGGAAGCAGCTGGTTAAAATACTAAATGCCAATAAAAGCTGTTCCTATCACTAAGGGACAGACACCAATATAGATCACCAGTTATTTTACAGAATCATTTCATTCCCGAGGCTCGATTTCCCATAACATAAAAATCATCAAAATTATGAATATTTTACAATGCAATTTTATTTTATTATTAGAATAATTTTCTATGCAATTATGCTGTTGGAAAAGGCATGCTTATCTTTACTGGGTTTTCATTTGTTGGGATTTCATTTTTAACCCAGCAATTGTGGTTTGTGTGAAGTATATCAATTCAAGGGGTGTGTTTAATTCTTTCCATAATGCCATTATTGCATTATTTTTTTTTATTTCTGGTAGATATTTGAAGTTAATGTTTGGCCCTTAAATTCATTTCAAACAATCTAAACTGGTTTGAAAAAGACTCCTGAAGTCCAATTTGAACTGAATAATTTAGAAATTGCTAAAAATGTTAAAATCATGTAAAATAAATCTTGTGAAGTGGGAATGAAAATGAACCTAGATTTTCACTTTCCCTGTGGGAAATAACCTTACTTTTATGAACAACGATATTGTTGCTGGGGCTTCAGGTAACAGTTTCAGTATTTTCTTTTTAAGGAAGCTGCATGACTTAGGAAGTTGGGCTACAATCAGTAAAAGTGCTAGGTCACTTTGAACTCAGTCATCAGCCAGGTGTTAGTTTAAATCTGCTCATGAATACATTGCCTTTTGCATGTCAGTAAGAAGCCAGAGGTATCTTGGCGTCTGTGCAGCATTTAACACAGCTTTTTTTTTTTTTTTTTTTTGCATACAAGAACTGGGGGGTAGGCCAGAGGTGCAGGGGATGAAAGGATTCCCCAGAGACAGAGTGGAGAGCAGAACAGACATATCCACTGAAATACATTGCTGAGGGGAGCAGCAGGCGGGACAGGAGAGGTCTGCCTTGCCATGTGGGTCAGCACTCTAGCCAGAGGTCAAATTCAGGCCACAACAGTGAACTTATAGCAGTGATAGTGCTGAGACTTAACCCCTAGGCCACCAGGGAGCCCCTGACACAATCTTTCTTTAGTCATTTAATTAACAAAAGGGATTAACTGAAAATTTTTCTTTTTTAAATGAAAACATTTTTCCCCCTGTCCCTGCAGACTATTCATGGAGTAGGTTGAAATATCAGGCCAAAGAGGACTTTCATTTTGTGTGTGCTTCTCTGTGTAACTTTTCCCTCAATTTTTATATTACTTGTAGAGATAGGAGTGATTTTGTCAATTTTGTTTTCATTCTTGTGGACGATATTCATACATTGTCTTTAACTCATAATCTCCATGTTTTAGACAGGCGTAAGCAAACATTTTCTGTAAAAGATCAGATAGTAAAGATATTAGTCCTTGTAGCCCTATGCTATCTGCAGCAATTCTCAATTCTGTAGTTATTACACAAAGATAGCTCTACACAAATCATAAATATATGTGCATGGGTGTGTTCCGACAAACATTTTTTGAAAAAATTTCAGAGAATCCAGCCATAATTTTCTGCCTGCTGATCTAAAGAGGTATCTTTATAGGAAGCAGGAAGATAAGAGGTACAAGAACTTAAGGCATATCAACCTTGGGCCTCCTGGTGGCGCAAGGGTTAGGACGCAGCCTATAAGGCTGTCCGCAGCCATTGCTAAGCGAATTCGATTACCGGCCAACCAGGGAGAAACCCACATGGCGCAGCAGACCTCTCCCGGCTCTCCCACTGCTCTCCTCAGCAGTGTATTTCGTCAGTCTGCCTGTACTGTTCCCCGCTCTGGCTCTGGTGAATTCTCTCACCCTCCCGCGCTTCTGACTGCCCAGTGCTTGTATAAATAAATAAATAAATAAATAAATAAATAAATAAATAAATAAATAAATAAATATTGCAACAAAATGAGGTGCTCTAGAAACCCAGATTTGCGTTCACTGGTTATTTTTATCATAAATCATAGTTTGTTGACTGACAATTCCTTTCTTCCGCAAACATCTACTGAGCACCTGTCTAGACACAGCCAACAATTGTGACACAGTATCCTGAGCCCTGATCCCTAGGACCTATATGTTTGGGAAGAGGAGGGATTTCAGCCTTTCATATTAAAATGCAAGCTCTCAGAGAATAACTACATGAGGCTTTTACATGTGCTCCCACTTCCAGCACTGCTACTTCTTAACTCAATGGTGAGAGATCGGGAGAGGAGTTGGACTCTGAACTTTGGAAATCATGTTCTTTCTTGCTTACTTTATTTTTACTTAAGAAAAAGAGATTCAAAATACTTGTGTACTGTGTCATACTTCTTTATTTTGAGGTTAGGGGAGTGTGGGTTTCAATTCCTGTATCTTAGTGCAGTAACAATCTGAGCAACCATTTCATTTCCCCAGGGGAGACAGCTGAGCTAGATAAATGTATTTTTAAAATCCACTGTTTAAAACTCTGCTCCTGGAGAATATGACATATAGACCTAAAAGGAAAGAACTGTATCAGCAATTCATACATTTGTCCAAACTGCCACTATGACTCAGCTCCAAAAAGTAACTGTTCAGATATTTTTTAATGTTCCATTCATATTTCTAACAGATTTCAAATACTATTTCAAATTACTTTATTAACAATTTCTAACAACTGGTTAACTCAGAAGAATTATTAAGGTGCTAAGTCTTGGCTTCACAATTTTGAGGTATAAAAAGCCCTATCTAATGATGAAAATAAATTAATTTTTCAAATGAAGGTGAGAAAAATGAAAATTTTATAGATTGTGAATCTATGACACTAGAATTCATAATAATTGAGTAAACTAATTAAACCTATTTTTCTTGGAACATGTAGTAATTATATTTAAAACATAAAACAACAGGATTTACTATACTTGAAATTTATGTAATTAATTTTTGTAACTTTCAACAAAAATGATTATTGTCAGTTTAAGCCATTTGTTGAAACCAAATACAGGTGCATTATGTTAGGAAAATCATTGTAGTATTTCAAACTGAGACTTTCTGTATTACTTTATTCTTGGTGACACAATAAAAATTTTCAGAAAATTTCCACACTTACAGAATGCTGTATATACTAAGTTATACACCATGCTTCTATACAACATCTCATTAAAATAAGACACTGAGATTATCAGAATCCAACATCATAACTTTTATATACAAAAGCAAGCTTATGCCTGTAGATATAGACCTATTACATAAATTGAGCTGGGGGCCTAGATCCGTGATTGTCATATTAAAATTGGCTTCAGTGCAGGAATGAAATTAGAACAATTTTTGACATGCTGGTGTCTAATACCTTGTAATATAACTTAAAATTGCAGCAAGGACTATGCAAGAGAAAGAAAATTAATAATCAGTCATAGATTCGGTCCTGGCATCAAGTTGGAGTGAAATATCCAAGCATTCTAAATCTTTGGCGTGTCCTTCCCCAGGATCTGTCACTGTGAAGGGGATGACGAGAGCCCCCTCATCACACCCTGTCGCTGCACAGGCACCCTGCGCTTTGTCCACCAGTCCTGCCTCCACCAGTGGATCAAGAGCTCAGACACACGTTGCTGTGAGCTCTGCAAATATGACTTCATAATGGAGACCAAGCTCAAACCCCTCCGGAAGGTGAGTATTTGCTGGAATTGATTTGCCAGAGAGAACTTGCAAAACAGGCTTCCTCCTAATATCCATTTCCACCCACAATAAGATTCTGCTACCATGTTTCCATCCATGGAAGCACATGTGCTATGTTGAGTTCAATTATGTAAAATATACCAGTGTGTTTTTCATTCTTGAGACTGGCTTTTACAGCACTCTTCCTCATCAAGAAAAGCATGTGTGTGTGCCTGCTGTGTATATGCAAAATATACTTGTCATGTAATGTAATTGAATGGATGGGGTGTGTAAAAACATTCTACCTATCTAAGGTCAATTCCCAATGTCAGATAATATATTATGTAATATGATTTCACCTAATTTCTTGAAAGTCAGGCATTAGGTAAGAGAACAAAAAGAAGTGGTGACTTTATGTTCACCTTTGGGGATTTGGCTTGATATTGCCTGTTTAATTAGAATAGATAGAAATGAAAAGTATTATTTCCATATAGTGTATCAAGCAGGAGGAGAAAGGTAAGTATATTTAAGTCTGTAAGTTTAATCTTCAAATTCCTCATTTATGATATATTTTTCTAAAGAGCAAAGACAAGAATATAACTCATATAAAGCTAGCATCTCACTCAAAACTAGCAAAGGACAACTTGTAAAGGAGACAAATGAAGACAATGAACTTTGTATAATTCATGCTTGAGAGCTAAGCTCCTGGATGTTTGCATATAACTTATGTGTCTTTTAGCCTGACTGCATATATGGATGCCTTAATTTCAAAAGGAGACTGTGCAATTTAAATAATGAATCTGCCTGGAGCTGCTTTTTCATTTAAATTAAATGCAAAGCAAAAGTGGATAAAAAGAACATTGCTTAGAAATAAACATGATAGGTGCCAGGTTGAGCAGAGATGAAAAGCAAACAAGGATATTCCAAAAGGCATGAGGTTGGTGGCTGGCCACTGCTGTTCTTTGTTAAGTCTCAAAACTAGGGAGAGGAAGAATAGCATTGCCTGCTTCTGAGGTAGCCTGAATTTTAAAAATCTGCAAATGGTTTATAAATCTCAAAAATGTTGGACGAAGTGCCATTGGGATATGCATTGTCTTTTATTAACACATGGGTGACCTGAGTGTCAAAAGGTGACACTCTGTACCCACAGGACCCAGAGGAATCAATCCCAGAATAGAAATGGACTTTTATGCCTTGCCTATTTCTTTGTGCAAGAAACAGATGCTGGGCCTCCCTGGTGGTGCAGTGGGTTGAGAGCAGCGCTGTGAAGCTGTCCACAGCCTCTGCAGCGCTAGTTCGATTCCCAGCCGTCTAGGGAGAATCCCACATGGTGCAGCAGACTTCTCCTGACTTGCCCGCTGCTCCCCTCAGCAGTGCTTTTGGCCCATCTGCCTGTTCTGTTCCCCGCTCTGTCTCTGGTGAATCCTTTCACCCTCCCACAACTCTGGCCTGTACCCCAGCTCTTATATAAATAAATAAATCTTAAAAAAAAAAAAAAGAAAGAAACATGCTGAAGGAGCTAAGTTGTACATTGTTCTCTGTGATCCCATATATTTCTCTCCTTATCTCTCAAGGAAATATAGATTATTCATAAATCTGTATATTTCTCCCTTTTTTTAACCTACATCTATATAAAATTTCCATTTCAACTTTGTTAAATATATTTCTGTTTGATAGCAACAATCTGGGATAATAAAATATTCAAAATTTTCTCTATTTTTTGGTGTAGAAAAGCTGGGGTACAGGCCAGAGATATGGGGGTTGAGAGGATTCGCCAGAGACAGAGTGGGGAGCAGAACAGGTAGATTCATTGAAATGCACTGCTGAAGGGAACAGCAGGCAAGACAGAAGAGGTCTGCTGTGCCATATGTGGGTTAGCTCCCTGGCCAGGGCTCAAACTCAGGCCAACAGTGATAGTACTGAGACATAACCCCTAGGCCAGCAGGCAGGCCCTCAAATTTTCTCTTTTTCATGCACTCTATGCCCTCATTTTTTTGTATAGTACACAATATATGATGCTATCTGGAAGTTGAAATTTTTTCTTGTTCTATTGTACCTGCAGAGTTTATGGAATCACCCCTCATCTATACAAGTTTTATCTTTTCTTAATATTTTATACCCAATAATGTCCAACCCTACCAGGAATTTTTTTCTCAACTAATGTGTTTATCGGCCAGAGAAAGGCAGCAGAAATATCTATTTTTTTTTAATCTTCTTAGTAATGAGTACGTTGCAGCAACCTACTGAGCTCCTATTATCTGTTGAATAAGGAAATACCTTAGCTTTAAAAAAAACTTTCCTTTGATCATAAATACTGATGAAGGACAGCATGTCAACATCTTTCATTTTTAATAGCATTTATGTATCTACAGAGAATGGTAGAATCTAATCCAGAAGTTGCTTCCTGATAGCCCACAGATGTGTTTCATTTGACCCACAGGGTTACAATTTGAATTTGTTACAACCATTAAACATGTGACTATTTCATATAAGCTTCCACACTTTTGTATTTGAAAATCAGAGCTTCTGGTTTCACTGGAGCCACATACCCACAGGAACACGACCAGTGCAGTTAAGTGTGGCTGACCTTTTGAAAAACTATTTGCTGTCATGTTTTCCATATTTTCTACTCTTTCCTTTCCTTCTCATCCTGGGATCTCAGCCCTCTCCTCTCTTCTGAGTACTGTGTGGTCCCGGTGTAGGGGTCTGAATTTTCAACTACTGGCCTAACACATAAGTCCTGGACAACAGAAACATGTATTTTGTTCCTGCCTCTATAATTCATGGACTTTAAAAACCTAGGAAAAAGTATCCCATTTTTTTCTCTTTCTCTTTTGAGACAATAGAATTGGAATAACACTTAAATGGCAGTATCTAAAATGGTTTTCACATCCTGAAAACACAAACTGCAGGCATGAGGCATTTTTAAACTGTTCTAGATGGTTTATTTTGATGGCACTAAGATTCAACAACAGTTTTCTTTTGGTAGTTTTTAAGTGGTCATTAAGAATGACAGGTATAGCATTTGGTTAGAATGTATTTGGAGTATATCCAATTAATTGCTCTCAACTCAGTAATTCCATTACAGTTTTATACTTTCCAAAGACCTACTACATGAAACAATTAATTTAGCTAATGAGTCCGAATGTCTACCATTAGCCAATGGAGGCAGTAGCTTCTGTTTAGATGAAATGGCTTTCTAAAGTACAAAGGTGCAAATCTTCGTAGTCTGATGAAACTTGGGCTTAATAGTCTCTGAAGATATCGGTAAAATCTTAATTCATTAATTGCTGCTATTACTATATCTAAATCTACAGTTGGTAAATTTATCAAGGTATCCTGATATTTCCAGAAGAAAACCTTTAAAGTCTAAATAAAACCAGGAACTTATTGGAAGGGGGAAAACAATTTTCATCATCTTTCAATCAGTCACTCACCTCCCCTTATAACACATAATAAAATTCCAATTAATCTTCTGAGATACCTAGAGTCAGAAATAATTCTTAGGGCTCAGAAAAATTGAAAAACAAAAATATAGAATTAACAGTGACTGTTTAGTGTAATTTGAAAAAGCACACAATATCAGTTAGGAACCATAAACTGATCTATTCTGAAGCTGAAAAAATGCATGGAGTTCAGATCTAAACTTGAACTACAGAAACCAACTATTGCATATTGAGCAGGGGCAACAATACTACAACAAGAACTTTCTGTCCTCTGCTTAATTACTTCTTTATATAGTTTTCTATGTATAAACTATTTGAGAAATATAATAGAAAATATTAACTATGCATCTTTTTATTCCTTGTCTCATTTCTCCAAATAATGACACAGTGAATCAACCACCTTTGCTTTAGTAATTATTAGGTTGAGTCATATACATTTGTAATTATAGATCAAAAACAGTTCAGTATTTAAAAGTTTACAATGTATGACTTTAATGTGCCAACTAAAAAGGAATAATGAGTTTGGTATTTCTACATTTCCAGCAAAAGACTTACAGTGCTTTACTGAAATGCCTGTTTAAAAAAAAAAAAAATGCTGTTACAAATAATACTGTTTAAGAATGTTGATAAATACTATGTTAATTTCCTCCTTTCCTTAATTTCACATAACATCTATCCTGCAAAAGTGACAAAGACCAAAACAAGCGAATCGCCCAAAAATTAGTATTGATTCTCGCTGATCTAGTAGTCTTGCAACTCATACTCTTCATATTGGACAGAACAGGGAATGTGATCAGATTCCTATTGAGGGTCTATAGTGCCCTATTGAATAATGTTACCTGAGCACACACAGAAATTCAAAGTGCCTCATTTATTTCCTTTATGGGAGATATGCAATTTCATTAAAGCAGCCACCACTATGACTGTATTAATGAATTTCTACTACATGCAGATGTTTAGACTATATCATTTAATTAATCCTTATTAAAACTCCATTCCATATAGATGTGTGAAGTGCAATTGTCAGATGAGAAAAATAAGACAATATCAAACTAATCCAATATCACACACCCCGAAACTACCTGATTCGAAAGCTTGTGCTCCTTGGCTGCACTGTGTCAGTCATGCAAAGTGAGAGTGAGCAGCCCTCCCTTTCTGCATCAAATTCTAGTTTTTATTTAAGCCATTTCTAATGGAAATCTCTCAAAAACAAACCTTTCCAAAATGAGAAAAAAATAAATCTTCCTTCTTAATTTCACCTAGTATGTAGTTGTATCATTATATGAACATCAATTATCTTGCAGGCTGACAAAATATTAACAGCCTCAGTAGCGCCAAACACATGTAAGACTGCTTATCTTCATGCTGTTCCCACCAGCCTCTGCGTTTTGAAAGTCCTTCTATCTGCTTTGTGTCATTTCTCTTTCTTTCCTGATCTGAGAGCATATGCCACCATCACTGCTGCATTTGTCCAGTGGCCTGCATTCAGCATCTTGTATAGTTACTGCTTTTCTGCTTTAAAGCAACAACAACAACCAAGAGTTATAGTATGGAGTCTCTAAATGG